TCTATGGCATTGTTTAACAGCTGCATAACATTCCTCGTGTAGTTGTACCCTGATTTTTGATTCAGTCCTCTACTGAAGAGCAGCTAGCCTTTAAGCTAAGACCTTTTGTCTTGGTTTCTCCATTTGTATGGGATGTTCTTCCCATAGTTGCATGGGTAGGCTCCTTAATTCTTTGCTGGAAGGTGACTGTTTTGGTGAAGTCTGCATTAGCTTTCCTGTTTAAATTTGCATGTTCTCTTCCCTTGTCAACCTCCCACTGATCCATGTGCCCTATTCCTGTTCCCTTTTTCCCAAAGCATTCTTACTTCCTCATATATTATTTGCTTTTTTTTTTGAGACGGCGTTTTGCTCTTGTTACCCAGGCTGGAGTGCAATGGCACAGTCTCGGCTCACCGCAACCTCCGCCTCCTGGGTTTAGGCAATTCTCCTGCCTCAGCTTCCTGAGTAGCTGGGATTATAGGCACGCGCCACCACGCCCAGCTATTTTTTTGTATTTTTAGTAGAGACGGGGTTTCACCATGTTGACCAGGATGGTCTCAATCTCTTGACCTTGTGATCCACCCGCCTCGGCCTCCCAAATTGCTGGGATTACAGGCTTAAGCCACCACGCCTGGCCTATTTGCTTATTTTTTTAAATCATCTGTTATTTTCCCCATTAGAGTATAAACTATGCAGGGGAGAAATTTTGGCTTTATATTTACTAATAATATTCCAGACATAAGGAATAGTGCATATTTGTTGAACAAATGAATGAATTTTGAGTTTGCAGGCCCTGCTTTGCAGTTTGTTTTTCTTACTGTTTTATTAGATATTAATAATAGGAAATGCATTTATAGTGCTTGTATGCAAAGGCCTATTTTAAACCCTTTATTTTGAATCATCTGAATCCTTCTACCCTGAGATAGAAACTATTATCTACTTATTATAGAAAGTAAACATAGGCATTGAGAGGCTAAATAATTTGTCCAAAGTCATAGCTTAGTAAAAGGAAGAACCAGGATTCAGATTTTTTTAGCCAGTCTTGAACCTGAGTCTGCAGTTAACTACAACACTATGTTGCTCTTTTTGTTTTAAGGAAATTAGCTCTTTATGTTGTGTTACAGATCATTTTTCTGTGTAATTTTTTGACTTGGTTTTGAGGTATTTTTGCCTCCTAAAGTATTTTTTGTGTAGTTAAAAAAATCTATTAATTTTTTTCAGGCATTTGTTTATTTTAGACAGGATTTTGCTCTTGTTGCCCAGCCCAGTGATTCAGATTCAGAGAGTAGTAGTGTGCAATCATGACTCACTTCAGCCTCAAACTCTCAGGTGCCTTTTGAGGCTTTTAAACTTATTTTTTAGAAGGATCTTCCTGATTTTAACATTAATAATTTAGTCATTTTCTTCCTTATTTTTGATTTGAAATATAAGTTTAAGATAAGCAGATATATATTTTGTTTCACCTTGACAGCATTTTAGAGATTTTGTTTGAGGGGAACCAAATTAAAAGTTGGAACAATATTTAGGAACCTAGCACTAATTGAAGCAAGAAATAATTATCTGAGAACAGGCTGTAGGGATGGACAGGAACAGACTGATTTCAAGAAATATTTAGGTCCAGGTTCAGTGGCTCACACCTATAACCCCAGCGCTTTGGGAGGCCTAGGTGAGTGGATTGCTTGAGCTCAGGAGTTTGAGACCACCTGGGCAACATGGTGAAATCCAGTCTCTACACATACACAAAATAAATACAAAAATTAGCTGGGCATGGTTGTGTGTGCCTGTAGCCTGTAGTCCAATCTACTTGGAGGACTGAGGTGGGAGAAACACTTGAGGTGAGAAAATCGCAGGAGGTCAAGGCTGCAGGAGCCAGCTTCACACCACTGCACTTTAGCCGGGGTGATGAAGTGAGACTCTGTCTCAAAAAATGAAATAAATAAATATTTGATAAAATCTTCAAGTCTTAGTGACTGATGAGCTGTGCATCAAAGGACTCTGGGATAACACTTGGATTTCTGGTGGTAAGAGTTTGGAAGAGAGAAAATATGTTTGTTGGGGTGCCATTTATTGATTGAATGGATGAATCATTGAAATGAGGTACAACAGAAAGGAACGGGTTTGGAAGATTAAATGGTATTCAGTTTTTCGTATGTTGAATTTGATATACCTTATGAATATCTCATTTTCAACACTTATGTTCATCAGGCAGTTTGATAAATGAGTCTTAGCTTAGGAAAGAAAACTGGACTTACAGATATTAGGTTTAGGAAAGTGAATTAGAAACTGTGAGTTCATGAGCTACTCTCATGCCTTGTTTTTTTCCCCCAGAATTATTACATTGGATGTAATAAAATAAAAAAGAGCTTGGAAACAGCTTTAAAACTGTAAAAACACTGTGTATGGTATGTATGATAGGAAGTTTTTGTAGCTATATTCATTCCCACTCAGAAAAGAGTATTAGTGTTTCTGCAATGGCGTTTGTCATGAGGGTGGGAGTAGAAAGGATGTCACCAAAGAGTCACCACTCTAGAGCAAAAATTCAGATATTTTAAAACTAGGAAGGACTTAAAGGCTACCAAATTTAGCAATGACAACTTATTTTTGAATATTCCATTTGCATAAAAGCTAACTTGGGCTTCCTGTTCTTTAGGAGACTTTCAGGTAAAGTTTTAACAGAAGATAATGCCAAAATTTTTTCTTGGAAGGGGTATTTGTGATTAAGCGAACCTGGGATTGCATTCTGTCACTTTCTGGCTCTGTGATTTTGTGGGGGGTAGTATGGTTTCTCTCTCTAAGCCTCAGTTTCTTCCATTACTTAAATGGAAAGAGTAATTTTCTTTTAGCAGTGATAAGTAGCTTCCACTAGCTTAGAGATTATAGATAACAAGTGGAAGTGTCCTGGTATTTCTAATAGACCTATTAAGTAAATAGAACCTCTTATGATCAGTATTCTCAGCCTGTTTTTATCTTGTTTCACAGCTTTATTTTGAAGCCAGTTACTCTAAAGATAAACTGAACAGTTGTTTTCAAAGCCATAGTTATTTGCAGATGTTTAATGATTTGAAGGGATCCAATGTATGCATAAAAATTGGTATTGGTAAATATTTGTATTGTCTAAGCCAAAAAAGGACTCCTAGAGGATTTTTTTATACCAGTTAACTGATTCGTAATTCATAAAAACTCTGATATAGGCATTACCTGCATATCGCAGATGAGGAAATTGAGGTATAGAGGAGCTAAGTAACTTACACAAAATTATGTGGCTAGTAAGTGAAAAGAAAGGATTCAAATACAGTCTGTCTCCAGAACTTCTGCTATACCAAGTACTATTGAGGATAACTCAGTGACAGTTTCATTTGCCTTAGAGCAGTGATTCTTTGTAGACATCCTTTCCACTTCCACCCTCATGACAGAATTTACAGTAAAGATGCTGGTACTCCTCCCTAGGTATGTATCTACCATATCACATGTGTGTTCAACCTTTGAGAAAATGTAAGATGTTTCTGAAAGAAAACAAGTGATGCCTGTGATAGCAGTGTGGGTGCACAAAAAATTAGGGAGCACTGCTTTCTAGTATTTATTAGAACTAACCTTTATTTGACTCTTAGGGAAACTCAACAAGCCTTTTACATACATAGTTTCCATAAATTTTAGCAGCAGCCTTGTGGTAACTTGTATTGATACTCCATTTTCTTCCCCCCTCCCCCAAGACGGAGTTTTGCTCTTGTTACCCAGGCTGGAGTGCAATGGCACGATCTCGATCTCGGCTCACCGCAACCTCCCCCTCCTGGGTTCAGGCAATTCTCCTGCCTCAGCCTCCTGAGTAGTTGGGATTACAGGCACGTGCCACCATGCCCAGCTAATTTTTTGTATTTTTAGTAGAGACGGGGTTTCATCATGTTGACCAGGATCGTCTCGATCTCTTGACCTTGTGATCCAACCGCCTCGGCCTCCCAAAGTGCTGGGATTACAGGCTTGAGCCACTGCGCCCGGCCATAAATTGAATAAATTGCTCAATTGTACAACTCAGAAGTCTGAAATGAAAGGGCCGTGACTCAAAATTTCATACTTTAAAAATGTTATGCTGTGATGACTTGGTTTTTATTTATAATATAGAAGGATCTATTGAAAGTCAAAATAGCTTTCCCCATATACTCTCCGTTCTGTGAATTTTAATGTTTGCATTTATTCATGGTAAAACTAAATGAGAGAGATGTAAAATTAACCAAGAGACAGAATAAATCAAAGCCTTGGTTTTTTTTTTAGGGGAAAAAAAACCCTAAACGATATGCTAATTAAGTTCATTTTTTAAAAGTTAAAATACATTTTTATATATGTGGTCAATATAGATCTCAGCTCTTCTACCCTAGCTCCTGCTCATCTGTTGACATAACTTTAAGTTGCTGTCAACTGGAATTCACAGTAGCTCCAGTTTCTGCTCAGATGATAAGTGGTTGTGTTCTCTGTTCTCTCTGGTAACAACTTCTAGTAGATAGGAACAGGGGTTGATTTGATGCTCTGTTTACTTATTCCAGCCATCTGTTCAATTTCTGGTAACTGGCGAAGCTCTTGAGGATCGCTGACATTGAGCAGTTTAGCATTAGGCTGTGTGTGTCTGACAAGTGTAAGTAACAGAAAATTTCCGTTGGCCTGTATGATAAAATGATTTAAACTTTGGGCTGTGTAGATTGGCAGGTATATTCATTGATGGCTTATATTTTGCTCTTACTCTATTTGCTTTGCTTTTTCTTCTCTTTCACATACTTTTGTTTTCCCACCTTGTTGCTTTTTCTTTTTTATTGTTCGTGTCCCTTTCTTACGGCTTGAAGGTGCTGCATAATTGGTCAGTGAAGTTTGCAAATTTCCACTAGGGAAGAGCCTTGGGGCAGAACCTCAGAGGACAATGAAGGCTAATTAAACAAGCCAGCCACAACTGTGTTTCTGTGCAACCCAAAGAAATGCTTTGTAGATTCTTGGTATTCTGTCATAAACTTAAACAGTGTTATTAAACTTTATTTTAGGACCTGTAACCATGAATGAAGAAAACACTGATGGAATAAACGGATGCAGTAAAGTTCGAACTGGTACTCAGAATGAAGCAGCATTACTTGCTTTGATGGAAAAGACTGGTTATAACATGGTTCAGGAAAATGGACAAAGGAAATTTGGTGGTCCTCCTCCAGGTGTGGATTTGTTTTTAGTCTTTTAAATTTAATCTTTAACCGCATTATGTAGATTAGATGTGTATCCCCCAAGTATTCCAAACAATAGCTCTCTCCTTATAACTGCTTTAAGACAATTGTTTTTACTGTTGAGGAGAGGTAGATTATCAGTGTTACTCATAACTTACCCTTGCATTTTTTCAGCCCTGCTCTTGGCCTTAGAAGCAGTTGAGAAAGAAGCTGGGCTAGGTTGAGAAAGAAGTCAGGATTAGGAAAGCGGGGAAGAGGGTGCTACTCTAGGTGTTAAAGAGGAGATCATCTGTGGAGGAATTTGAAACATCAGTGAGTAGGTGAGTGGTGTTTAAACTAGAAAACCAAAGGAAACAGGCAAATAGAATGTTTCACCTTTCTACCAATAACCAGTATAATTTCTTTGCTCAAAAATCCTCCAATTTATCACACTTAAAATGAACATATGGCTTCTGGTTACCTCAGTGGCTTCGGCACTTAACCACTTTCTTCCTTTCTCAAGTACACTTTAGCTGTATGAGCTTCCATAATCTGTCACTCTGACACATAAAGTACTTGCTTTTTCTTCTTTCTGAATGCCCTTTTTCCAGATAATCCTCAGGGCTCACTCCCTCAATCTATTCAGGGCTCTGCTTAAATCTCATGTACCCAGAGATTTGCCTGATCACTTCCTTGATTTTCTTCGTAGCACTTATCACTCACTATCTCCCTTTTCTATTGAATATTAGCTTCATACGGGAAGGGGCCTTATTTTATCCACTGTTGTATGCCCAAGACCTAGAATTCTGAGTGGCACATAGCACAGCAAATTTGTTGAATGAATAAATGATTGAAAGGTGAATACAAATACCTGATTAGAATTTATGTGTCTATTCATTTTTGTCTTGCAGGTTGGGAAGGTCCCCCCCCACCTAGAGGCTGTGAAGTTTTTGTAGGAAAAATACCTCGTGATATGTATGAAGATGAGTTAGTTCCTGTATTTGAAAGAGCTGGGAAAATATATGAATTTCGACTTATGATGGAATTTAGTGGTGAAAATCGAGGTTATGCTTTTGTGATGTATACTACAAAAGAAGAAGCCCAGTTAGCCATTAGAATTCTTAATAATTATGAGATTCGACCAGGGAAGTTTATCGGTGTGTGTGTAAGCTTGGATAATTGCAGATTATTTATTGGAGCTATTCCCAAGGAAAAGAAGAAAGAAGAAATTTTAGATGAAATGAAGAAAGTTACAGAAGGAGTTGTAGATGTCATTGTTTATCCAAGTGCAACCGATAAGACCAAAAATCGTGGTTTTGCATTTGTGGAGTATGAATCTCATAGAGCTGCTGCTATGGCAAGGAGGAAACTAATTCCAGGTAAATGGATTAGTTTAAAGGTTATTTTCCAGTGTTAACCTTACTACAAATATGGAGATATGATAGTATCCCATGGATCAATATTATCAAAATATATAATGCCACTTAGAGGAATAAAGAATTGTTTAAGTAATGAAGTAAAATCACATGATTCTAAAATACAATAAATTGTTCCTATGAGTACTCTTTATGATATATTTACTGAATGTATACACTTTGAACTATTACTTGTTGTTTAATAAAAACCCAAAGGGCAACACTTAATTCTTCTGATAAAGATCTAACTTTGAAGTGTATTTGTTCTATTCACTCTTAAATTACATCATACATTTTAGTTGTTTGCTTCAGTAAAAACTTTTGTTTGAATAGAAAACAAATGCTTAACTAAATTTATTGATGTGTAGTTGAGTTTCTGCTTCTCTGGGGAAACAGTTTTATTGAACATCTTTAACTTTATTTTTTGTTTTAATTCTCTTTCAAATTAATTTTTTTTTACAGGAACATTTCAACTATGGGGCCACACCATTCAGGTAGATTGGGCTGACCCCGAGAAAGAGGTGGATGAGGAAACCATGCAGAGAGTTAAAGTTCTCTATGTAAGAAATTTAATGATCTCAACTACAGAGGAAACAATTAAAGCAGAATTCAATAAATTTAAGCCTGGTACAGTTGAACGAGTAAAGAAACTTAGAGATTATGCTTTTGTTCACTTTTTCAACCGAGAAGATGCAGTGGCTGCCATGTCTGTTATGAATGGAAAATTCATTGATGGAGCAAGTATTGAGGTAACACTAGCTAAACCAGTAAACAAAGAAAACACTTGGAGACAGCATCTTAATGGTCAGATTAGTCCCAGTTCTGAAAATCTGATTGTGTTTGCCAATAAAGAAGAGAGCCACCCAAAAACTCTAGGCAAGCTGCCAACTCTTTCTGCTCGTCTCAATGGTCAGCATAGCCCAAGTCCACCTGAAGTTGAAAGATATACTTATCCTTTTTATCCTGGAACCAAGCTTACTCCAATTAGTATGTATTCTCTAAAATCCAGTCATTTTAATTCTGCAGTAATGCATTTAGATTATTATTGCAACAAAAATAATTGGGCACCACCAGAATATTATTTATATTCAACAACAAGTCAAGATGGGAAAGTACTCTTGGTATATAAGATAGTTATTCCTGCTATTGCAAATGGATCCCAGAGTTACTTCATGCCAGATAAACTCTGTACTACCTTAGAAGATGCAAAGGAACTGGCAGCCCATTTTACACTACTTCATTTGGGTAAGTTTAAAACTACTTTAAACAGTGTAGAATATGAAATTAGGAAATGCTATAGATTATTTATAGATTTATTTATTTCAAACTCTTAATATTAGTGGTAAATATATGAGAAAAATTTTGTCTTAGTTTTATGAAGTCATAATAACTTTCTTGAAACTTGTGCCCTGTAAAATCTTTCTACATTTAGCTTTTTAAGCATTACTTAACCAACAGGAAAATTTGGTTTTTATTTACTATAGTGTTTATAACCCTGTAGAGGCAGGGAGTTAGTAAAATCAGTGGGATTTCAGATGGGTCATGTTTTGACACAGCTTTATGCTCACCAATCTGGAAATTTGTCATTATCACTCATGAAAGACAATAGCCATCTTTAAGAGATATTTGTGACCACTCTCTCTTTTAACTTCATGCTTTTTAAAATAAATTTTCTTTAAAGTGTTTGAAGGATAATTATGAAAGGCTTTGCAAAAGCATAAAAAGCTATGCTAACTAAATATGTGACATTGTAAAGGAAGAGACATAATATCACAATGGTGTTTTCCTACTTTCTGTTTTTTACTGTTATGTTAGCCTTTCCCCTCTCTTTACCTATTTATTTTTTAAGGCAGCAGTAGATTTTAGTAGATGATAACTTTGTGCCCCAAATAATATTTACTGGAAGAGTAGTAGTTTTCTGAGAATCAGAAATAAAAGAGAATGATCTCCTGAGGAATATGATTGTTTCTTGATTATAATTGTCAAACTCTTCACTGAAAATTAATTTTTTGTATGGTTGCAGAACCATAGTACAGAAGCCTATATGTATTTAAAATTGATATTCTCAATTTTAAGAAAAATAGTCAAAAAAGAAAAACATTGTCAAAAGGGAGAATACTTTTTATATATTGTTTAGGCTTGCTTAGGTACCACTGCCACTGCCATAGTATTACAGATCTTTTTTTTTTTCATTTAAATTTTAATTAATTATTTTTAATTACACTTTAAGTTCTGGGGTACATGTGCAGATCATGCAGGATTGTCACATAGGTACATATAGCAATGTGGTTTGCTGCCTCCATCCCCCCTATATTTGGCATTTCTCCCCATGTTATCCCTCCCCAGCCCCCGATCCCTCCCCTAACCCCTCCCAACAGACCCCAGTGTGTAATGCTCCCCTCCCTGTGTCCATGTGTTCTCATTGTTTAACACCCCTCTGTGAGTGAGAACATGCAGTGTTTGATTTTCAGTTCTTGTGTCAGTTTGCTGAGAATGATGATTTCCAGATTGATCCATGTCCCTACAAAGGACACAAACTCATCGATTTTTTATGGCTGCATAGTTTTCCGTGGTATATATGTGCCACATTTTCCTTATCCAGTCTATCATCAGTGGGCATTTCGATTAGTTCCAGGTCTTTGCTATTGTAAACAGTGCTACAGTGAATATACATGTGGATGTGTCTTTATAATGGAATGATTTATAATCCCTTGGATATGTACCCAGTAATGGGATTACTGGGTCAAATAGTATTTCTATTTCTAGGTCCTTGAGGAATCTGTCTTCCACAATGGTTGAACTAATTTACACTCCCACCAGCAGTCTAAAAGTGTTCCTATTTCTCCACATCCTCTTAGCATCTGTTGTCTCAGATTTTTTAGTGATTGCCATTCTAACTGGTGTGAGATGGTATCTCAGTGTGGTTTTGATTTGCATTTCTCTAATGACCAGTGATGATGAGCATTTTTTCATATTTGTTGGCCTCATATATGTCTTCTTTTGAAAAGTGTCTGTTCATATCCTTCATCACTTTTGGATGGGTTTGTTTTTTTCTTGTAAATCTGTTTTAGCTCTTTGTTAGATGGGTAGATTGCAAATATTTTTTCCCATTCTGTTGGTTGCCAGTTCATTCTAATGATTGTTTCTTTTGCTGTACAGAAGCTCTGGAGTTTAATTAGATCCCGTTTGTCTATTTTGGCTTTTGTTGCAATGTTTTTGGTATTTTAGTCATGAAGTCTTTGCCTATGCCTGTGTCCAGAATGGTTTTGTGTAGGTTTTCTACAAGGGTTTTTATGGTGTAAGGTCTTATGTTTAAGTCTTTAATCCATCTGGAGTTAATTTTAGTGTAAGGTGTCAGGAAGGGGTCCAGTTTCTGTTTTCTGCCCATGACTAGCCAGTTTTCCCAACATAATTTATTAAACGGAATTTTTTTTCCCATTGCTTGTTTTTGTCAGGTTTGTCAAAGATCAGATCCTTGTAGTATTGTTGGAAGTCCACTATTGTGATGCCTTCAGCTTTGTTCTTTTTGCTTAGAATTGACTTGACTATGTGGGCTCTCTTTTGGTTCCATATGAAGTTCAAGGTGGCTTTTTTCCAGTTCTGTGAAGAAGGTCATTGGTAGCTTGACAGGGATAGTGTTGAATCTGTAACTTACTTTGGGCAGTATGGCCATGTTCACGATATTAATTCTTCCTAACTATGAGCATGGAATGTTTCTCCATCTGTTTGTGTCCTCTCTGATTTCGTTGAGCAGTGGTTTGTACTTCTCCTTGAAGGGTCCTTTACATTCTTTGTTAGTTGTATTCCTAGGTATTTTACTCTCTTTGTAGCAATTGTGGATGGCAGTTCGTTCTTGATTTGGCTCTCTTTAAGTTTGTTATTGGTGTATAGGAATGCTTGTGATTTTTGCACATTGATTTTTATATCCTGAGATTTTGCTGAAGTTGCTTATCAGTGTAAGGAAATTTTGGGATGAGACGATGGAGTCTTCTAAATATACAATCATGTCATCTGCAGATAGAGACAATTTGACTTCCTCCTTTCCTAATTGAATACGCTTTATTTCTTTTTCATGCTTGATTGCTCTGGCTAGAACTTCTAATAATATATTGAATAGGAGTGGTGAGAGAGGGCATCCTTGTCTAATGCCAGATTTCAAAGGGACTGCATCCAGTTTTTGTCCTTTCAGTATGATATTGGCTGTGGGTTTGTTGTAAATAGCTTTTATTATTTTTCAGATACGTTCCATTGATACCTAGTTTATTGCGCCTTTTTTTTTCATAAAGTGATGTTGAATTTTGTCGAAGGTCTTCTCAGTATCTATTAAGATAATCATGTGGTTTTTGTCTTTGGTTCTGTTTATGTGGTGAATTAACATTTATAGACTTGCATATGTTGAACCAGCCTTGCATCCACGGATGAAGCCTACTTGATTGTGATGGATAAGCTTTTTGATGTGCTGTTGCAGTCGGTTTGCCAGTATTATAGAAGATTTTTGTGTCGATGTTCATCATGGATATTGGCCCTAAGTTTTCTTTTTTTGTTGAGTCTCTGCCCAGTCTTGGTTTCAGGATGATGTTGGTCTCAGAAAATGATTTGGGAAGGATTCCCTTTTTTGGGATTAAGCATAGTTTCAGAAGGAATGGTGCCAGCTCCTCTTTGTACGTTTGGTAGAATTTGGCTGTGAACCTATCTGGACCTGGATTTTTTTGGGTTTGTAGGCTATTATTTGCTGCCTCAACTTCAGCCCTTGTTATTGGTCTATTCAGGGTTTCAACTTCTTCCTGTTTTAGGCTTGGGAGGTTGCAAGTGTACAGGAATTTATCCATTTCTTCCAGGTTTACCGATTTATGTGCATAAATGGTAGTTTCTCGTTGCATCTATTTGATTCTTCTCTCTTATTAATCTGGCTAGCAGTCTTGTCTATTTTGTTGATCTTTTCAGAAAACCAGCTCCTGGATTTACTGATTTTTTTTGAAAGGTTTTTTTCTGTCTCCTTCAGTTCTGCTCCAATCTTAGTTATTTCTTGTCTTCTGCTAGCTTTTGAGTTTTTTGATCATGTTCCTCTAGCTCCTTCAATTTTGATGATAGGGTGTCAATTTTATATCTTTCCTCACTTCTCATGTGGGTATTTATTGCTGTAAATTTCCCTCTAGACACTGCTTTAAATGTGTCCTAGAGTTTCTGGTATGTTGTGTATTCGTTCTCATTGGTTTTAAAGAACATCTTTATTTCTGCCTTCATTTCGTTGTTTATCCCATCGACATTTAGGAACCACTTGTTCAGTTTCCATGAAGTTGTGTGGTTGTAGTGAGTTTCTTAATTCTGAGTTTTAATTTGATTGCACTGTGGTCTGAGAGACTGTTTGTTACGATTTCCGTTTGTTTGCATTTTCGAGGAGTGATTTACTTCCAGTTAGGTGGTCAGAGTAGGGACAGTGTGGTGCTGAGAAGAATGTATATTCTGTGGATTTGGGGTGGAGAGTTCCATAAATGTCCGTTAGGTCCTCTTGGTCCAGATCTGAGTTCAAGTCCTCGATATCCTTGTTAATTTTCTGTCTCATTGATCTGTCTAATATTGACAGCGGAGTGTTAAAGTCTCCCACTATTATCTGTGGGAGTCTAAGTTTCTTTGTGGGTAATTAAGAACTTGCTTTATTTATCTGGGTGCTCCTGTATTGGGCACATATATATTTAGGATTGTTAGCTCTTCTTGTTGCATTGATCCTTTTACCATTAGGTAATGCCCTTCTTTGTCTCTTTTGATCTTTGTTGGTTTAAAGTCCATCTTATCTGAGACTAAGATTGCAACTCCTGTGTTTTTTTTTTTTTTGCTCTCCATTTGCTTGGTAAATCTTCCTCCATCCCATTATGAGCCTGTGTGTATCCTTGCACATGAGATGGGTTTCCTGAATACAGCACACCAATGGGTCTTGACTTTTTATCCAATTTGCCAGTTTCTGTCCTTTGATTGGGGCATTTAGCCCATTTACATTTAAGGTTAATATTGTTATGTGTGAATTTGATCCTGCCATTTTGATGCTAGCTGGATGTTTTGTCTGTTAGTTGACACAGTTTCTTCATTGTGTCTATGCTCTTTACCATTTAGTATGTTTTTGGAGTGGCTGGTACTGGTTGTTCCTCTACATGTTTAGTGCTTTGCTTTCAGGAGCTGTTGTAATACAGGCCTGCTGGTGACAAAATCTCTCAGCAGTTGCTTGTCTGTAAAGGATTTTATTTCTCCTT